GTTCTACTGGTGCTAATACAGAGCAGCTAACTGCTAACCGTTCTACTGATCAATCAATCAACATTTATTTATATAGCACCTTACAACAACCAAGGGTTGACCAAAGTGCTTCACAATTGCAAATCAAACATACACAAACAGCAAACACGAGAGAAGAACAACAGTTTCAGTTGAAGGCTAAATCAAACAAGTATGTTTTTAGCCTGGTTTTGAACAGAGGCAGGTCAGTGGTGGTGCGTAGCTCAGAGGGCAGTGCATTCCAAAGTTTGGGACCTGCTACTGCAAATGATCGGTCACCCCACTGTTTGCTCCTGGACCGGCGGACCTCTAGCAGGTGCTGACCAGCATAGCGAAGAGCTCTGCCGGGTTGGTGGAGCTTCAGGGTTTCGCTTATGTAGGTGATCCTAATACAGAGCAGCTAACTGCTAAACGTTCTACTGATGCTAACAGGATACACTGTATTACACAGTATCACGTTTTTAATGTGTTCAACTTTAGAAACTCTTTGACCTGAACATTAACGTGTGTACGTGTTAAATATTGTTGTTGTTGTTGTTGTTGATACGTACTGAAATCAACAACAGGTTCTGTAAACACGATCCACAGTGTGGAACAGGAGAGCAACAATATTAGATATGATATGATAATATTAGATAATATTAGATATAAAACCCACACGTGTCACACATGTTCTATGAAGATCACATTGAAATCTCATCAGTTTGATGTTCTGTGCAGTCAGGACTCACATCCTGCGGCAGCTGATCTGGTTTGAGGAGCAGCTGTGATGGCGGGTCGTGGTCGTGGTCGGAGGATGATGAGTTTCAGTGTGGATGCTGTCGGCATCAACAGAGGAGACAGTTTACCTCCGACCATCCAGCAGCCGACACCTGCATTCCCGGTAAGACACCAGGACCTGACGTCTGTTCTACGAAGTGAGTTCAAGAAATCCAGGATTTCTTTATCCAGCTCAACTTAACCTAACAATCACAGACAGGCTAAGTTGTCACACGACGCTGGTTATCATCAACTCGTTAAGTTAACTCAGGTTTTCCTCATCAAGATCTGAGTGTGTGCACATAAAAGGGTCGGAGTTTACTGTCCAATCACAGACATGGACAGTTTGACTGACAGCAGAGCCTCATATTTCACAACGAGGATCAAATTATCACATTATAGAAATTAGAGGAGGTGGAGTATAGGTCTCCTGATTCACACTGACTCTAAGGACACAATGTCTCTGAGGACACAATGTCTCCGAGGACTAGGGCTGTCAAAATTGCTCCAAAATGACGTTCGAATATTCTCTCTAAAAAAACACATAGGTTTGAACCATTCGAATATATGCGCATGCACATCATGTCAGTAACAGGAGGACAAACTAATACAACGAGACATAACTACTTGTATAGGTATTTTTATCTCAGTTTTAACATAAAACATATCTACACATTACAAAATAAGTAAATGAACTAACCGTAAAACTAAGACCATAAAAAAAGACCGCTCCGTCGCTCGCCCCCCTCTCTCTCTCTCTCTATGCGCGATGCGCACACTGATTTAAATAAACAATCTGTTAATAACGGTCGGTAATAACCATAGACTGTAAAGGTAATAACTGGTCTCTGTGGCTGACATGAGCTGAAGGTAGCGGGAGTGTATGCTGCGAGTTTAGGAGGCACGTCAGCCAGAGCTGTGTGTGTGTGTATGTGAGTGATTGAGTGAGTGAGACTGCTGCCTGCTGAACAGCAGGTCGCAGGGAGAAGGATCTGAAGTGCCCGTGTTTCGGCCACAACACTCCGCCGAACCGAACCGATCCGAAACCAGCCCAAACTTTTATCCACCCGCCTGGAAACCCTGGTCGCGTCTCACTTTCAGATGAGTGACGCTGTGCAAGTGCAACTGCTGTCCCTGACCTGTCATGCAGTGCGCCCACTCGACAAGCAGCCGCTTGTGTTTTTTTCCAAAGTCGAATATTAATTTTCACAATCGAATATTCGTTTTTTTTTAATATTCCAATATATATTCGAATTTAGAATATTCGTTGACAGCCCTACTGAGGACACACTGTGACGGAAACCTCTGACGTCACTACTCAATAAAAACACATGGACATATTTTCAGGACCTGACTGAGTGTATTTGTTGTTTTGGGGACAGGAGGAGACAGGGGGATCGGGAGACAGAGAGACTGAGACGTACTGACTGAGTTAGAGATCAACTGAACCAACCAGACGTTGTTTAAACTTCTCTTATCCGTCCCTTTAAGGAGAGTGTATAACAGTGTAGAGCCACTTTGGTGAGTGTTTGAGTCCCAGAGAGAGAGGGGGGGGGCTGTCACAAGGTCTATACCCCCAAGTACTTCTTAAAGGATCAAAGTACTTAAGAATGTGTGGTTCTCCTCCGCTAACACTCCCAGTACATCAGTATCAGTAAGTGAAGCAAAGAAAAAGTTAAAACAGTCCCAGATGTTCTTCCTGAATTTAGCAGCTGGAACTGTTTCTTTCCTTTTGATTTGTATTATTCAACAGTTTGATCCTCAGCTCTGCTGTCAGTCAAACTGTCTGTGATTGTAATCTGTAATAATACAGATTCAGAATTTAAAAAACTTGTCAAACTTTAACAGATGAATCATCAGTATCACATGCTCTGTGAGACATTCTTCATTAGATGAGTGCTTCTGACAGCAGTGCATTCTGGGAGTCGTAGACAACTGTTTGTGTGTGTTGTCCAGGCAATGGAGAACAAGCCCCTCCCCCTGGCGGCTGGCGAGGAGGCGGAGTATATGTTGGCTCTCAAACAGGAGTTCAGAGGAGCCATGAGGAGTTTGCCCTGCTTCATCCAACCAGCTGCCCCTCACAGAGGTCAGAGGTCACAGCATACACGTCCTCACTAACATGGTTTAAAGCTCACAGATTCTAATAATCCATATGAATTTCATAGAGAAACATGTTTGAATCATAAGCTTCGTTGTGAAAGTCTTTTGTTTCCTGCACAGATGTGGAGAGGTACTCTGATAAATATCACAGCTCGGAGCAGACGGACAGTCTGATCGACTGGACTCCAGGTCAAATCAATACATATTTATTGATCCTTTGATTTGTGCTTTAACATTCAGCTGTAAGCTCAATACTGTGACCAGTGGAGGGCGCTACAATCCTGTCGTCCAATGAGAGCAAGAGAGAGTCTGACAGGTGGTGCTTTCTGATTGGTTGTTTCAGACTGGAAGAGATTACCCAGAGAGCTCAGAGTCGTCAGGAAGCCTCGCAGAGACGGTCTGTACTCAGAGTAATCTGATTACACAGTAATGTGATTAAACTCTTGTGTCAGTAATATATATTTCAAGTGGAGTGTGGTGTCTGATGGGCGGATGGACTTGTCTTCCTCAGGTGTGTCGGTCAGTCGCTTGGTTCCATCAGGTCAGAAGAGACAAGTAAAGGAGAAGGAGGAGATTCTGCTCAAACTGGAGGTGAACAAACATTCATCAATAACCTGCTGGTCCACCTTAAACACCTTAACTGTCTCTTCCACCTCAAACATGTTAACTGTCACTTCCACCTTAAACACCTTAACTGTCACTTCCACCTT